CGTCAGGGTTGGTGTAGAAGTTGCTTCTAAATTTGTAAGAGCTCTGTGGAAAAGAATGATCATTCGTCTTTTCTGTTAAGAATTGAAATGTCAGGGATACTCAGTGTAATTGTTTCTACTTTGCTGTTCATTTGCTTTAGTTTTTTCGTGCCTATCAATTTGGTAATGCATGTTTAAGTTTTGTTATAAATTTGATTTTTTTTTTAAAATATTACGACCTTAATCCCTTGTTTCCCCCCTGTTTGATTAGTGAAGTTACTATCGTTTTTAAGGCATCGTAAAACCATTGTCTTGTCACTTATCTTTATGGAAACTTGATGCAGTCCGGGGTGAATGGATTGAATTCAAACCTTCAAGATAACACAGGAAGAGCGTTCGCAACTTCCTTTTCCGCTCAGTCTGGTTCTTCTGGAGCTGGTAATTTACGCTTTGCACTTCTAGTTAGTTGAATTCAAATTTTATTCTACTCTAGACGTATAAAATAATGAACTGATTTTCATGGGAAACATTCAAGGGCTTCACAACATGCATGGTAGCTTCAACATGTCCACTATTCCTGGGCCATATGCCTCAAGGTATTCGACAAATCTTGGTAGTCTCCCAAATGGCGTTCAGCAAGCACCAGGAAGCATGTCTAATGGGAGATATGCAATTAACGGTCTTCCTAGTGCACTTTCTCAGGTATAGCTAATGCTCCTTGGCGGATGACTGATGAGAAGATCAACCGTTAGATACACTTCTGTATACATGCACAAAAGAAAATTCATGTGCATATAGTGTAATATTTTCGCTCTCAACTTTCTAGTGCAGCTATCTCTTGGAAGTTCGCATGGGCATTCTGGTGTTACAATACTGGAGGTATGCACTTTTTTGCCAATATATTTTGCATTTATAATTTATATTCTCTAGTTCTTTTCACCTAATTTCAATTTTTTTCAGGTGCAGGTGTGATTCCAAATATGGGAAATACAGGACGGGTTACAAACTCTACTGGTGGTCTTATGGGTGGGGGAAACACTTCAAGGGGTGCCAATACTGGGGTGGCAAATATCCCTGGTCTTGCTCCTCGCTTGAACTTGACTGGTAAATAGTTAGGATCTCTAGTTTGCTATATTGTACCATAAAGTTGCTAAAGCTTTGCCAAACTTGTTCATTTACAGTTGATGTTGATAGCTTAACAATAAATAAACAAATCTATGTCTATATACACCTTAAGATGCTTGTGTCCTGAAAGTGATCGAGGGTCACGACTGCTGATACCTCCTTTTAAACGATGATTTTAAATTGGTAATTGAGAGTAGGATCTTATGTGTGCTTTCATATAATGAAATCTTATGTTATAGTGGATGTTCAGATCCCTTAAAGTCATTTGTTAATGGTCTTCTGTATCATGTTTGAGATAAGTTTTTGTTAATATGTAGACTTGGTACTATAAAATCACACCTGAGGCAGTTTCTTATATATTTAAATTTTGGTTCTATGGACGTGACGCCTAGAATTTCAGCTCCACAGGTGGTATCCATGCTGGGCAATTCCTATTCAGGTGGCGGTGCACCTCTCTCCCAAAATCAGTTTCAAGCTGGGAACAACAATTTTAGTTTTATGGCTTTACTAAATGACTCAAATGCCCATGATAATGCTACATTTGATGTCAATGAATTTCCTCAGCTGTCCGGGCGTCCTCCATCAGCCGGTGGTTCTCATGGTCAAATAGGTAGTTCCATGAAATTCCTAATCAATTTGAATATATGTTTTCCTTTCTGCAGTTTCCAAATTATTGATGTTGGGTGTTGCTTACTATGAAGGTTTGATGCGAAAGCATAATATTGGTTTTGCCCAACAGAATCAAGAATTCAGCATTCAGAATGAAGATTTCCCCGCTTTGCCTGGATATAAAGGTGCTTAAATTTCTGCATTCCTCTTCTATGTCGGGAGTCAATTGCAATAGGTCATTTCTTTAGAGGAAGTTACCCGCGGAGTTTATATGGTTCTATGGTGCCTCCCACAATCAATTTTTCCTTGGTCAAATTCCTATCTGGACTATTATTTCTAATTAGATTACCATGCGCCTCTTGACGTGATAGAAGTTGGTGACGGCGTGTAGATTGAACTACGAGTTCTAGTTTTCTTGCTAGATGACAAGCACCCATTGAAGTTTTTAAAGTTTTTGCACTATGGGTTTTAGTATTCTTGCTAGCTGACAAGTGCCCATTTTCGGAGCACACTTTAGTTGCTTTATATTTTCACCATTTTTCCTGAAGCAGGCGGTCTTAACGTTGGAGGTAATGGTGAATATACCATTAGTCCACACCAAAAAGAACAGATGCACGACAGTATGGCAAATTTAATCCAGTCTCAGCAATTATCTGTAAGTTGCTATGCTGGAACACATGATTGAACTTTGCGCGGATTCCATAGGATGATTAAATGCATTCGTTTGTAGATGGGTAGGGCTTCTGGATTCAATTTTGGGGGCTCATATTCATCACACCATCCTCAGCAACATCGTGCTTCATCCATAAATGGCATGGGGGTTTCCTATCTGTCGTCAGGCAATCAAGATCTTAATTTTCATGGCCCTGAGGTATGGATATTGTTGGTTCTTACGTTTAAAGTTTTAATAGATTAATTTTGTGCGGCAATATCTTTCTGTTCAGCCTTCAAACCCCTTATACCGTGGATCTAGTATATTCCGCCTTTTTGTCTTTCTTTTTTTTTAAAAAAAATATATGAGTGATGACATCTTAATTTATAATTTGTTAAAGATCATTTTACCAACTCATAGGCGATTGCTGTGGATTGGCTCTTCTAATTTATTGGGGGCTCATTATTTCGTTGTGCAGCAGTATCAGCAATTCCAACAATCCCAAATGCATTTTGTCAATCCATTTAGAGATAAAGACATGAAACCTACTCAGGGTTCTCAAAGTTCACCTGATCAATATGGGATGCTTGGCTTATTAAGCATCATAAAGATGGTCAACCCAGCTTTGACGTCTCTTGCTTTGGGAATCGATCTTACAACTCTTGGCATGAACCTTAACTCATCTGAGACACTTCATAAGAAGTTTGCATCTCCCTGGTCTGATGAGCCCGTCAGAGGAGAGCCAGAGTACAATGTTCCTGAGTGTTACTATGCAAAACAAAATCCTCCATTGAAGGTGAGTCAAGTTGATAAATTATGGTTTGGTTATGCTACTATTTTTCCATGCTCTATTTATTGGTAAGAATTTCTAATGATGCAGCAAAGTTACTTTGCAGGTCCAAAGCCCTGGTAAAGGAGGAGGGTTGTGATAGGCTTGGCGAGCCAACGTAAAACCTAGCCGTTCTATGGAGATAAAGGAGCAACCTCTTAGCCTAAAAGAGTTGTATTGATTATAAAACTAGCCGAAACCTTTGTTATGGGTCAAGCTAATCACTGTTCCAAAGTCGAATAGAAATACCCATCCAATAGTCTTTTTGTGTTTCTCTTGGGTTTCATCTCTAGCCTACCCCGACTTGCTTGAGACTAAAGGCTATGTTGTTGTTGTTGTTGTTGCAGCAAAGTTACTTTGCAAGATTCCGGCCAGAAACTTTGTTCTATATCTTTTACAGGTAAGGGCCTGCAGGCTCTCCCAGTATTTTAATATAAACTATATGGTATTTTATTAATCATTATGGTACTGATTTTGTGTTTTTGTGTGTGTGTGTGTGTTTTGGTTAATTCCAAATTTAAAGCATGCCAAAATATGAGGCCCAGTTATTTGCAGCAAATGAACTGTGAGTCTCATTTTTTCACTCTCGTTCTCTGTAATTATGATTGTAATATGAGCTAATCAAAGTAAATCAGGATTTCCATGCATATGACACATCTTATACTAGATGCCATATGCAAAGGGATGGGGAAATCGGGAAGTAGCATATGGACCTTGAGTGGAGATAAAAGTGTGTGAGAAATGGTACCGATGGATAGTTTTAGCAACTGCGGGAAATAAACATGACATGATTTTAAAATACAGGACAGCTTTAACATCTTTTTATGATGTACCACCACCACAATGAAATTTGGTATGTGGTAGTTATTGAATTTCATCTCATTAATTTGGTGAGTAAACTTATTCCCGAGATTTCACTACTATAACAATATTCGTTGTGAAATCTTCTCCTTAAAGATTTTAGTTGTAGCAACGTGGAATGCTGATTTAGAATAGGTAGTTTTAGGTTGTATTATCATGTTGTCATTTTCGTTCTTGGCTTCTATTATATATCTGGGATATGATCAAGAACTGTTCTGATGTAATAATGTTTGCCAATGAATTTAACCATCATATTTTGACATTGTGATGAATAGGAAAGTTTATTACTACATTGTCAATTATTTGCAAAATATAAGAGTAACCATTTGATTGGTAAAGGTATATCCCCAGCTATCTGCAGATACTGATCATAAGGGATATAATAGTTGGTTTGAGACGAATATAAACAGTATGGCTTTACCCAATTGTGTAGTCCCAACCAAAGCTAATCAGTTATTGCAATAAGAGTTAAAGACAAAGCACAACACCATCATATTTCTGAGATGGTGAGACTTGCAACCTTTAAGATGTTTATGCACATAGAGACTGAACTGTTGGCCGCGTATTTAGTAAGACATTCTAGATTGTGAGAAGAAAAGGAAAAACTCAAATCGATTGTGAATAAAGTTTCATGTGTTTACTTTTATTGTAGTTACAATAGAGGATGGTTCTACCACAGAGAGTTGAGGTTATGGTTCACAAGGGTGAAGAACATGGAGCCTCTTGTTAAGACAAATAGTTACGAGAGAGGCTGCTATTTTTGTTTCGATCCCAATGCCTGGCAGACTGCAAGAAAGGTATGCAAACTCTTTGCTGTCATTAAAATCTGATTTATGTGCGTTGTGGTCTGGAAAAGCACTGGCCGATGTTGAACTGGTGTTATTACTTATTATATGGTGTGGTGATGCAGGATAACTTTGTCTTGCAATATGAAATGGTTGAGAAAAGGCCCACTTTGCATCAGCCACAGATGTAAAGGTTGTTCCTGTGGTCCTAACTCTAATTTAGAATTACAATTGTTTCATAATTTTGTGTTTTTGTAAGTTGTATTTTGAACCACAACAGTATGTCCCTGATATTTCTTTGGCAGCTCCATTGAAGGATTAGTAAAACTACATTTTGTCACTCTCTCTGGACTGTGGATGAATTCTTTTTGGCCTTTCGTAAGATTCTTTCTCTTTTGGTCCTTTTTTTTTTTATAACTCTTGTTTACGCTTGTAAGTTGTAACGGCAGATGGTTGAGCTATGTTTTTATNCAAATAACTGAAAAAAAAAAAAAAAACTTATAGTGAGTGGAAAATAAAAGGCAAAATTAGTTACACCCTTCTCAGCTCATTGTACTGCGGGTGTGACTACACAATTTCACTACTTACAAGTAGAGAGGTCCACGGGCCGCTTGGCCCGCCGACCCAGCCCAAAACTGGCATGGACCTAGCCTGGTCAGGTCCGTGGTCAACGGGTCTTGGCCCGGTCTGGATTTTAATTGGGCCTGGATCCGGCCATTTTGAACATATGACCTATTGGGTCGGGTCGGTCCGTGCAAAAACAACGGTTTTAAATTTTTTTTGGGACGGGTTCGGGATCCGGGTCGGGCATACCCTGGCCCGTCGAGTCTTGTACTCGGGCCGTACATAAATAAGGACCAGTTCAAGGTCACTGTTTTGGAGCCTGGAGACCAGTCGAGCTTGGGCCCGGCTCAGGATTTGGCCATGTCTACTGTTTTGAGGCCTCTTTTCGGCGGGTCGCGTTTGGTTGTTTGCTTGGCTGGGTTGGCGTTGGGTTTGGTATCTGATAGGGGAGGGCTTTGTTGCCGCTTAATTTTTTTGTTTTTTTGGTTTCGTTTAGTTATTTTGTTGGTCTATTTTTGGCAAGGTTGTCAAAACCGGACCGGTCATCGAACCGGTCAAGCTACTGGTTCAATGGTTCACTGGTCCGACCAGTGGTTGAACCGGTTGGACCGTTATTTAATTTATAGATATTTTTAAATATATATATATATATATAATATTTCATAGATATAGTTAACTTAATTTTTAAGTTATTTAATTTAATGATATTTTAAATATATAATACTTTATAAATATTAAATATAGTTGACTTATTTTTTAAAAGGTTGGTCCCACCATAGATAGATTAAGCAATAAAATGATAGTACAAAAATATAGAAAAAAAAAATATTCTTCACACTCCCACATTGGTCAATAAGATAATAGGAAATAAAGATGGGATATGGAAAAAGAAATTCCTTCCATACGCACATAAAGGGAAAAGAAATTTCTTTCACACGTGGCTTTAATCCTTTACCTTTACAATTAAAAATTTAGAATTCTTACATCTTGTCCTACATCGGTAACCATAAAAGGTTAATTGCTTTATAAAAGTGTTAGAATTTATACATAAAAATTATTTGACTCGATCGGCTAAAAAAAAAAAAAAAAAATTGACTGGTTGAACCAACCGGTTTTTTGACCGGTTTTGGCCAGTTCGACCGGTCCGACCGGTCATTGACCGGTTTTGGCCACAGCCGGTTTCTTCCATTGAACCGGACCGGTTAGCTGGCCGGTTTCCGGTTCAACCGGTCGGACCGGTCCGATTTTGACAACTATGGTTTTTGGTTCTTCCATTTGGGAGCTTCTCCACGTGTGGGAGCTTTGTTTCTCAAAATTAACTTATTTTATCTAATAAATCAAGTTGATTAGCATTAGAATGGAATGTTCAAAATTAACTCACTGTATCTAGAGTTGTCAAAACAAGCTTAAGCCCGCCCGCCCCGCTTGCCAAATGGGCGGTTTGGGCCGGGATTTTTTAAGCTCGCTGAGGAGCGAGCCTAAAAATGTCAACCCGCGCAAAAGAACTAAAGAATATTGAAAATTGGGCATAAGAGACTGTCACTTAAGTTCAACGCATTCGATATTTATATATAGGAGTTATATTGTGTTCTCTACCCCAAAATAAAAGTAACAAAATAATTTAGATACGCCTTGATTAGAAAATATAAATATAGAAACAAATGATATATGGACAAGATGCAAGTGACAACATGACACCATCAANATGCCCCTAAACTACCCAGCTATAAAAAAATTTCTTTTATCGAAAAATACAGTTCTCATTAAACGAGCTATCAGAAGCATTGAGGCCAGTTGTTGAACTACAAACGCTTCAAAACCCCAAAACATCTTCACCCGTTTACCGTTCCGACCCGATCCAGCATGGGGCTGCCGGAGATGGAACCCATGGCTTCGGCCATCGGAGTCTCGGTCCCCGTCCTCCGCTTCTTGCTATGCTTCGTGGCGACCATTCCGGTGAGCTTCCTTCACCGGTTCGTCCCCGGCGGACCCACCGCCCGCCACCTCTACGCCGCCGCCACCGGGGCAGCCCTATCCTACCTGTCTTTTGGGTTCTCGTCGAATTTGCATTTCCTCGTGCCGATGGTATCGGGCTACGCGTCGATGGTGATTTGCCGGAAGTACTGTGGGGTTGTTACTTTCTTTCTGGCGTTTGGGTACCTCATCGGATGGTACGTTTTGGATTTAATTTTGTATTTGTTTGTTTGATATGTATGTTGCGTTTGGATTTCTGTGAAGTTTAAATTATGGAATTGTTTTGTTTTGTTTTTTTTTTTGTTTTTTAACTTTTTTGCTATTTTATGTAATTAGTATGGTGTTGCTTTGAAAGAAAAAAAGGATAGTAGAGCTCAAACTGCATTATGCTTTGTTAACTGTGGAAGCTACAGGGGTCTTATCTTATTTCCTTTTGTGGTTTTGCAAAGTAATTGAAGCAGAACACAGAGTTGGGAAACTGGTATTTGAAATTGTTTATCTTGTTTTAGAAACCTTAAACCACAGAGATATAAGCTCTTGGACCTGCTGGGCTTTTTATAACTAATGCAACTGCAGTATGTACCCTTTTCAGGATATAGTGCTATTTATCAGTGATTGCCCGTACCCATTTAGTAATGATATATGTACCCTTTTCAGGCTATAGTACTATTTATCAGTGATTGCCCCTATCCATTTAGTGATAACTTGACCACATTCATTTTCTCCATTTATGTGAAGTTTGAATTTAGATTAGTTGTTTGTTAGACAGCATCAGAATGTAGTGTTTTTCATTAATTTTTATTAACCCGGTTCTACTCACGTAATCATGTTCCATGTTTATGTCTCACTGCTAGATTATGCATTTACAGTTTTACATTGATATTATGTTGATTATTGGTATATATGTGTAGCCATGTATACTACATGAGCGGAGATGCATGGAAGGAAGGAGGTATAGATGCTACAGGTCAGGGCCATCCCATTTTCTGTCACTGCTGGTTTTTCTATGCTTATGCACTGGAGTTCTTTCTTTGACAAAAAATAATGATTGTTTATATTCGGTTTTGTGTAATCCAAGAGGAAGTATACATTCAAGCACATCTTCATAATTCTCTATACATATAATAATATGGATTTGTATTCAAAGGTAGTCATTCCTAATGTGCTACTCCCTGACAGAATGTTTAACTGAGGAGAACTACTGTACCATGCATTAGGATACCGTTGCCCCTTACATAACCTATTGTATGTGTTAATGGGAATACATGCATTTTGCATTACAGCTATTTTTTGACTCTGTCCTTATGCCTATAGTGATGATGGTTTGCATTACTGCGTGATTACTTAGTTGCTACCTGCACACATGAATAGTCAATATTTTTGTAACTTGCTTTCATATTGGTTTTCCTGATTGTTGGCATGTTTACAGATATGCTACTTTCCTTTTCCTCGTGCAATTTTCTATTTGTTGAAGAAGATAAAAACACCACGGGGAGAAGCTCTTTTGAAATTAATTATAGTTGGATTGTTCCTTTTTCTTTTTGTATGTACTTGGAATACGTTATACTTGAGCAAGCTAGATACCTGTTAATCTGGATGCGTTGAAATTGATAAAGTTACAAATGTTTGCCTCTTTGTTATCTTAAGCTCATACATTTTAGTTCATTCACTGGGGTCTGTTTTCCATAAAATGTAGTCTGTATAGAATTAATAAACGAATACATCAGGCTTTCGTTCACATTTTTTGTGCTCACCATTTGCAGGAGCTCTGATGGTAATAACACTAAAAATCATATCGTGCGCCATTAATTACAATGACGGACTGCTGAAGGAGGAAGGTCTGCGCGAAGCACAAAAGAAAAATCGGTTGCTCAAATTGCCATCATTACTTGAGTACACGGGTTACTGTCTCTGTTGTGGAAGTCACTTTGCAGGTCCCGTGTATGAAATGAAAGACTATCTTGAATGGACTGAGAGGAAATGGGTATTGTGTAGTCATATACCATGCTTCTGCACATTGTTACCTCTGCGATGACTGTTATTAATTTGGCTCCAATTTTATCATTGACAGATTTGGCTGGCTTCAAAGGATGGATTTACCCCCTCTCCTTATTGGCCTACTTTTAGGGCTCTTATCCAAGCTGCTTTCTGTATGGGCTTGTATTTGTATCTTGTACCACATTACCCACTTTCCCGATTTACAGAATCGGTATACCAAGAATATGGATTCTGGAAAAAGTTGAGTTACCAGTACATGTCAGGCTTCACTGCTCGTTGGAAGTACTATTTTATTTGGTCCATATCAGAAGCTTCTATTATTATTTCTGGCCTGGGATACAGTGGCTGGAAAGATTCAAATCCACCAAAACCTCGATGGGATCGTGCAAAAAATGTTGATATATTAGGTGTTGAGTTGGCCAAGAGTTCCGTGCAGCTACCACTTGTGTGGAATATTCAAGTCAGCACCTGGCTAAGGCAATGTAAGTATTTCACTACAAGCTGAATAGAGGACAATTAGGTCAGTGTTGATTGATATCGAAATTTGTCGATGTCATTACATATGTATAACTGCTTGACTACTTATCTAATGATGGTTACTGACTCGTCAGGTGTAGGTATCGGAACCCAAAAATCCCATTTGCCTGATTTCTACTCACTCACTTCATTGAAGTGCACGACTATACTCATCAGTTGAAAACTAGCATGGATTTATTCTTCTGTTCACAAATCACACATATTAACTAGTATTTCTATTCAACATAACTAGGAGTTGATATTTGTTCGTACACTTGTGATATTGGAGGTGTCTTGAACTTTCTTATCTTACTTATGTTGTCCACATAGTTGAGTTGCATGATGAACCATCTCTTGGAGACTTGAACCTCAGTGCTAAAATTATCTTTTCGTGCTCTCGTTATTATTATTATTATTATTTTATTACGGGCAAGGGCAGCTGAAGTCCTTAACCACTGTGTTTACCTTATGGATTGATATACGATTGAATGTCAAAGATCACACGACTGTTCATAAGGTTGTTGTTTGAATATTTATTGGTTCACTGAGAATAATGCATGAACTAGGGATTTGGCTATAGAATGATTGCACACAGTGCCAGTGGTTAATCCTATGAACGATATAATTTTATCTAGCTAATGGTCTTGTTTTCTTCAGATGTCTATGAGAGGCTGATTCAGAAAGGCAAGAAACCAGGCTTCTTTCAGTTGCTGGCAACTCAAACCGTGAGCGCCGTGTGGCATGTAAGTGTGCATAAAATAATGTGCATTATAAGCTTCCAATTGAAATAAAATTTTGTGTATATGCAATCTTCATTTATGAATTAGGGGTATAAAGTGTACTCATAACCTTATGGCTTGAAGATGCATGGTTTTTCAGGGTACATACGACCATTTAGTTCCTTGAAAACTTACCCTGTTTTTTTTTCTATCCAACGCATATGGGTGTGATATAATATGACATGAGAAGTAATGCTTTTAAACAAATGTATCACATTGCTGTTTAGATAAGTCAAATCATTCAGTTCTACTGAAGCAATTGTGACCAATAATCATGCTAAAAAGAATTACATGCTATAAAAACATTGCATGTTTGTGTAATATTTCCACAAAACCATTAATATGACGGATTATTTTCCAATAGTTG